TACTGCGTGTCGTTCATTCCTAAACCTTAAATCCTAACCGCCAAAACCGTGAACCCTACACTCTCAAATCAGAAGCTCCTAACCCAAAATCTTACATCTAGGGAGCCCACATTTTGGATCTCCCCCTTTACTTCTCCCTGTCTAGTGACACCTTGCAGATGCTGCTAGCAAAGCCCAAGCCCCAACTCCTGACGCAAGCCCGAATCCCTAACTTACACCTAAACCCTACCTGGACCCCAAAAGTATGTAAAATAATGGCCCTAAACCCTTTACATACTTCTGTGGTTTAGGCTTAGGTAAACCCTGAGCAGCGTCAAGCTTGAAGCCCTTGAGCCATCCCACTAACAAAGCAGAGCCTCACAAAGGGCGCAGCTGCACGAAGCCGTGAAAATCAGCGCCCGGCTGGATTAGCAGTATTTTTTGATCGGTAAGGGGCCAAATGCATGATAATTCACAATTATCTACCGTACCCAAACGTTAATCACAATTACTATTGCCCAAAAAGCCCTAAACCCTAAACTGTTCAGTACTTGGACTCTTAGGGAGTGGCTACACACAGTTTAATTGGAGGCTCGTGGGCTAGGCAAATACTTCGAACTGGCTTATAAGCGCGGCTCCGAACCCAGCTTACTTACCTACCCTGTGCCTTACGATACATGATGTAATCAAGTTACGTATGCCTATAACCCTAACCCCTAAACCTCAAACCCCTTTGTACGTAGTTACAAAGCATGATTTTCAAAGTCGGGTTGCAAGAGTTCTGTCCCCGTCCAGAGTGAGAGCCTTCGTCTTCTCCAACCACCAAAATCATAGTATAAGGTCTTCTAGGACGCTTGAGAATTGAGACGCCGCAGGAGTCAAGGCTTTTGTGTTTGTTTGTGACCAACTGTTTTATGGAAGCCCTAAGGGAGCCCCATGTAAGAAGGCGCCATAAACCTTAGGGAGGCCTTGGGGAGGTCTTAAAAAGGCTTAATTATGGGTCCCCCATATAAGGGGCCCCCTTAAGGATCCCATAACTGTTTGGTGGAGTTGTAAGGGCGCAGGTTGGGTTTTGAGCATGTTAAATTTTCAGCTAAGATGGTAGGGGGACTGGGAAACCTCAAGATGTAGCAGTGGAGAGTTTGGAGCTTGGGGTTTAGGGTTTAGGGTTTAGGGTTTGGGTTTGGGGTTTGGGGTTTAGGGTTTCGGGTGTGACATGCTTGGGGGCTGGGTTTCTGGTAGGTCTAATAAGCGCACCCTAAACCCTAAACAAGGCAATTATTCTACATACTGTAGGGGGTCCAGGTAGTGCTTTGGGGATTTAGGGGCTGGGGGGCTTCTGCTCTGGCAATGTGGGTGTGTGGTGTGTAGGGCTTCAGAACTTTGGGCTTTTTAAGCTGGTTTAGGGTTCAGGAGTTGAGGGTATAGGGTTTAGGGTTGAGGGTGAGTTTGAAGTCCTCCATTGGGACACGATATGGTTCAGGGCTCAGGGCCGTACCCAAGTACTTACTACGGAGTCTAGGCTAGGGGCCGAAACCATTCAGATTAAAGTTTGTGGTAACTAAGATCACATCATTTGGACACTTGGAATCGCATGGTTCTTACACAAGCACCCGCGTAGCAACGCACCACCAGCAGCAGCTTTCAGCATGGGCCTGCAGAGGTAATTTATGGATTATTTTCCTTTGTTGCTCCTAAACCCTAGACCCTAAAACCCTACACCCTGAACCCTCAATTAAACATGGACCCCACACCCTAAACCCTTAACCCCAATATTCAGATCCTCCCGGAGGACTGAATAGTTATGATCGGGCCAATGCGCGTCTGCGAAGCCAACCCCGGATAGATTGCTACAACGCACAGAGGTGAAAGAGACCAGTTTTGGGTCAATTGGTACCAGAAGAAGCTACTGTAGGTACATTCAGGCGCTATAAGACAACTCCATATTTAGGGGCTTTTGCTGTAGGGCCGATTGACCTAAACCCAGTTGAGTTCTTCCCTGGTCCGGAGCAATTTGAAGACTAGGGTCCTGGGATGAGGATTCGGGGCCCCTAGGATCAACATGTAGACAAGGCCCACTGCCTTTGGCATTCTGGGTTTGTGTGACGGGCCCCTGACCTAGAAAATCTGGTATACCCCAAACGACTACCTTACCTTAGGACTTTAGTCACAATTCCTAAGCCCGAAGCCCCGAACTGTCAGTCCCAGTGTACCCTACGGTGCCGAAGGGGAATCTAACACCACGCCGGACCGCCCCACCAAACGCAGTAACTCCTACCCTTACTTGTTCCTTAGTACAAAATAAGGGAATGTATTATATAGTGATTCTTTTTTCCTTATCCCCTACTGAGAACCAGTAAGCATTACAGTCTTCAAGGTGGTGCAAGGTTTCTTGCTAAACCTCCAAAACCCCTAAAACACCTAGACCCCTAAAGCCTTAAACCCTAGACCCCAAAAAATCTGGACTTCCAGCTGCCCAAGCCCAGGTGAAGCAGAACGTCAGCGGGAGGAGATGGAGGCTGCAAAGGCCTTCACGTGAGGGCCTTTTGTGTTTAGGGTTAAGGGTGTAGGATTCAGGTTTTAGGATTTAGGTTTTAGGGTTTAGGGTTAAGAATTTAGGGTTTAGGGTTTAGGGTCAAGAATTTAGGGTTTAGGATTGAGGTTTCAGGGTTAAGAATGTAGAGTTCAGGAGTGAGGATATACGGCTTAGCGTTAAGAACTTAGGGATTAGGATTTAGGTTTTAGGGTTTAGGCTTTAGGATGAAGGGCTTCGGGCTCAGGGTGATGTAATGGTTTAGGGTTTAGGATTACGGACTTTGGGCTTAGGGTGATGTGAGGGTTTAGGGTTAACGATTAAATGGATTAGGGCTTAGGGTGATCGTGTTTAGGATTAGGGCTTAGGGCTTAGGGTGATGTCCGGGTTCAGGGTTTGGGATTAAGGGCCTAGGATTTAGGGATTACACAGGTTTTAGTGTTTAAGACATCACTAAGCCTGGCAAAACGTCTTAGTACTGCTGAGCGCAGGTAGAAGCTGAAATGTACCTGTAGACGTTAGATATAAAATTATCTGTTTGGTCATGGCGTACGAGTTTTCAATTTAGGAAAATGTTGGAGCATGGCTGGAAACCTTCAACCATCAACTGGGTTGCTGTTAAGGAACTTAAGTTAAGTTACTATATTGGGGAAACCCGATTATTTTATATATATATATACCCATTATGGTAACTTAATTTAAGTTCCTTAACAGCAACCCAGTCAACCCCCAGATAGCGAGAAGTTACGGTAGGGTTCAAGCTCAATCCCAAAGAGTTCATGTGGGGTTTAGGGTTTAGGGTAGGTATATAGCATGCTCTTAGGTCCCAAAGCGTTTCCCACGTGCCGACATTGGGGCCCAAATATGTACGATATTGCTACATGGACCCTTTAGGAATGGGATTTCGCTTGTGATCTTGAACGGCAGTGCGCATGTATCATGTTTTGGGATGCAGTCAGCGTGCGCCAGCATGGCTTCGTGATTCAGTGTTGGCTGGCCAGCGTGAGCTTACTTGCCACAAGAGCAGGGTAGCAACCGTACCGGTTTTCCAGAGAGCCCAATATCCCAGAATAGTGACATCCTAGATACTGCATACCCTAATTCAAATTAGGATCCCTAATTGTAAACGCTAGCGCGCGCCCGCCTCGGCTGGCGGGGCTTCCCTCTGTAGGAACATGTAATTATAGATATGCAGGTATTTAAGTTAGGTATATGCATACAGTCATATGCCTAATACATACA